AAGCGTCTAACAAACGAATCACACCTTGCACGATGTGTTAATTAACCATGAGGGTTACGCCATGGTTACTAACCGTGGTTACACAAACCCCAACGTTTTTGTACCCATAAAGCACTGCGTCACTGAAACCGATAACCCTTGTGGCCATATTTTATTTTTTAACAATCGACAACCCTTTTTTATTAACAAAGCGCGATAAGCATCACTGAAATCGACACCCTTTGACGCCCGTACATTTTTTTATATTTTATTGTGATATGACTCTGGCAGTCTGTAATACAGCGCTCGCTGTTGCGTCACTGAAATCGACAACCCTTTTTTTTTATTAACAAAGCACATAGGCATCACTGAAATCAACACCCTTTACATTTTATTGTAATATGACTCTGGCAGTCTGTAACAGCGCTCGCTGTTGCATCACTGAGATCGACAACCTTTGACCACGGTTAGTAACCGTGCTTTGACCAAAGACTATAGTCTTTGCTTTGACAAATATATGCTGGCCGAGTGCGGTCACTGGCCGTGATCGGTCACCGGCCGAGTAGAAATCTGGCCGAGTTCGGTGGTCACCAATCTATCTATGGGGTGAATCAACTTGCCTGACGAATGAAATTTTGTCTCAATGTAAACGAGCACTTCTACATTTACAGACCTGTACACAGAATTACATTTCCATCTATTCAGCTGGTCATTCACTGGTCATAATTCTTGCCCTGGGCAAGTGTGAATTGGAGGTGTGGCTACGCTAATGAGTGTTGTTAATCACTTGCATAACCTATGACGCATCCTGTTTCAGTGGTCCAACATCACGTGACTTTGATTGACAGTAGTAATTATTCAAGATTAGTCTGCGTCCGTTTCCCTGGTTCATGTTTTTTACTTTTATCCGCCAAAATCTCAGCTCGTACACTATTTATTGTCATAAATACTACACACAATCACTGCTGTGATATTCATAGTCACATGCATCCACTTTGGCACGACATAATAGACCTGTTAGTTTGAGAAAACATGTTTTTACCGAGCTTGGCTGGAGCTGTTTACTACAGCGTGACAAGCAAGGAAATAATTCCTATTGTTTAGGAGCGTACTTATAGTATACCTGGGCCTTTAAGTGTGACAAGCTATATCTTCAGAAGCAGTACATTAATGTGACAATGAAATGATAATTATGCATATTGAGGTAATCAACAAAACCATTGGTGTATTGATATATAATTTAGTCCCAAAATCAGACATTTTGTATGACATACTCAGTGTTTTTGAAAATGTCAGTGGATGTTCACAGGGATGTGTATGGGGTGCGACAAAGTCCCAATGAATACAAGCACCAACACATTCACAGACCTGTACACAGAGCTATCATGGGCTGTGATGACCATGGGTAGAGGCATTCAGCATCCTTGTAGTTATGCTGTACACACTGTTATTGTAGCAAGATTCCATCATGATCACATCTCTCTGTTGAAATAGTATTTGAAGGATGTACTTTATTTTGTATATACATACTTGTATACTTGTGAATTAAATGTAAAGACTGCGATGGAATAGTGTGGTATTTCCAATATATATTATGTCTTCTTTGTTGTTTGTAGGGAGAATCGGTATATCCATGTTGGAAGGCCTAGTTACAAGGTATGTATTAATTTAGCAGTTATTTAGTTGAAAATTAATTCTCAATTTGTTTGTTTTATATGTGTAGCCATCTTAGCAGTGTACAGTGGAATACATTTCCATAATCATTTTGTACAATAAGTGATAAGTCAATCCATATCTGGTTCTCTCTGTGGTGTTAATCCTACTCCAGAGGACCTGATCCTGGTCAAAGCGAACTTCTGCACATTTTGTGCATGGATGGATAGCAGCAGTAATTGATCTAATTCGTGTCACTTTCTTCATAGGCATCCTGCATTCCACTGTTCACATACCACCATTGTACAACGTTGTGGCATTCATACAACGCCAACACTGTTCTGGGGATACAGAAAATGGGAAGCTAAAAATAAAATAGTCTATCCACCCCAGAAAGAGGGAGAACCACCAAGATTAGCCGTATGTATATGTCTGATTTTTGAGAGAAAATATTCAAAATTTCAAAATCAGATGTCATCGTCTTATATGGTATATCGCATGTACTTAAAGCGGGAGGTCATCATCTGCACATGTGTGGGAATGAGGTCCCAAGCGATGATAACAACACACGCTAAAAACGCAAAGGTTCATGGGTAGACGCTTGTTTGTAAAAAATGACATGCTATGGCCATCTGACGCATGCGCATGTGACGACTCCCTCGCTTTGATTGTACTTAATTTAAACTGTGTTTTTCGTGATCTTGCATATCCATGCACATCATAATTTCCTTTTGTTTACTTTGTAGGAAATTCACCACTGTAAACGAAATCTTAAATACAGCCAAAGAAGAATGTGGTATATTGCAACATTTGTGAGTCATTACATTTCCTGTGAATTTGATTGGTTTAATGTAACCTTGTGATTTCTGAACAGGTTTCCATGGAAACAGTGTGATTTTGCCATAGAGTTTAGCTGTGGGTTCATTACACTTTTTGTGCTAGTCCTTGTGGTGGTATTTTAGTCTGGTACAATTGGCCTCTTTAAAATTGTTATTTTCAGATAGTAGGATCTTCAGAAAGAGCTATGGTTTCTGAAAGAGAATTGTGTCTAGAAACGTGTGACACAAAAGTGTATTGCAGATAGAAGTCTATTTAAGAAGACTATTTTCTCATATCACAAAATCAAAAATATCACCTATCAATAATACATTTATTAAACTCTCACCAACGAAAAATGTCACTTTAGTGCATATTCTTTGGATACTTGTGTAAAGTGAACATGTTATCTGCTACAGATGCATGAATGTACTGTCAACTTTAATTTTAAAAAAATATACAGAAAATTTATCTCATGTACATGTGTATGTACAACTATTGAACAAAATGAAACAACCACAATAAATACCAAGACCATTAGCAAACTATTGAAAGTAGCAGACTGTCTTTTTCTAGGCGTTATCTCATTCTATGAAGAGCACCTATCGTTACTATAGTGATGTCATTTGGTCACCTAACATTTGACTTTAAGAAAATGGCTGCCACCAGATTTATTTGAGTCGTTTTTCATCACCGTTTTCACTTTGATGAGTGTTTATTCAATATAGTATCAATAGGTCATATCTTTGATCGTGTGATACGAGTACCCAAAGTATCTACTCTAGATTTCAAATCGTCATCATAAAAAAATGTTGGCAAAATTTCAGGATATTCATGCGTGAGATGCGTCTATCTTTAAATATTTTATATGTGCGGTTCAAGATATCACTTGAAGAGTGCTTGTGAATATTCACGTTATAAATAAAAATCCTAGACAATATTTGAAGTTTGCATAGATTTTCAAATGCATGCTACATGTATACCCAAATTTATTGTGTTATATTGCTGCACATCAAGTCATTGTGCACTTTTTTTTATCCATCCTTGATGTATCTGCTCACAACCTGTCTTCCTTTTAATTGTTAGATAAAGAATATGTGGATAGATGAAGCTCTTGCTGAGTTGCAGTTTGTTAATAAAAAGGGAGCCCAAATGGTTATGGAGGTACAGACATTTTTCACTTTTACTCTAAATTAGATCTAATTTTACTGTATATGTATGAATTCTAAAAATATCATGTTAGTTCACTAAAATGTTTTCAGTCACCTATTTGCTACATAATTAAAACAAGCTTGATTTTCAGTTTTTTTATTTTAAACTTTAACAGTGTTCAAGGGATTTTTTATAAAGATGTACGGTATGTAGAATTTACTGTTTGGTCCAGTACATGTACTACATGTGCCAGAATATATGATTTTTAATGGTACCCGGTAACTACATTTGGCCATATGACATTTCTGGAAATATATATTTACTGTTTATAAATGAATGAATTTTTCAAAAACTGCTGTGCGTATAACAACACATCAAAACTTTGTCTGAGAATCTGCAGTCTAGATAAAATAGACCCTCAGTGTTCTCCACAAGGGGTTTTAGGCCCATCAAGTTTTACGACCGCCTAGTAACTCTCAACACCCTCCCATCAACGTACATCCAGCTGAAATTATTTGTAAAAAGCTTGCATTGTTCTTCCCAAGCCTAAACAAAAGAGTAGTTGCCCAACCCTTTATTTTGCTATTGTTTCAAGAGTCCAGACATAAACAATTGCCACTGGAAGTCTGCAAGCAGTTATCAAGTGTATTCATGGCAATGTGTCAATCGCCTGAATTCATTGTCGCCCGACATTGTTGCCACTTATTGCTCACGATACACAACTACAGTGGTTTCAATTTACAGCTGTATTTTTTATAATCGTCTTCCGATCATGAAAGATGGAAGTAAATATGAACAAAATGTATATGCACAGAAAATAAACAAATATATTAGCAGATTGCATGTAAACTTGAAAAAAAATTCTAGCCGTATTTACAACGTTCGCTTGATTTTCATCGTGAAAACAGCAAACTGATGACCTTTTTGCCTACCCCATTCAGTGACCGCTGTTGGCGCTGTAACAATTTAGTATCTAAGTTGCATAGGGGAACAGCGCATTCTGGGTGTTCGTGTACTGAATTCGGAAAGCGGTAAAAAACATCAAACATGGCTGCCGGATTAGTTTACCACGAGTACTGGTATTTGTAATTGAATACATATTTTAGTTATCTTTTCCACTTACTTTTTTCAGTATATCAATTTTTTATGCCGAATCATCTTTCGAGAACATAGCAGATTCTTTTATTTTGCCGATTGCTAGCATTTTTTCTTGAATTCCAAAACAACGGGTGAAAACGCTACGTGTCGTGATCGTACATACGTAAATGTATCGTACCGTCCGTCGGCACGGGTGAGTACTGATGCCACAAAAAAAATATGGGTTTTATTTTGACAAACCGTCGGTTTTGGCTTAGGGGACAAATCACCTTGTATATTTTCTACATCATAACTCAATTATGTTTTGTACTTGCTCTTCATTGCTCGAATTGCATTTCATGAACGCAGAATATTTTGAGAACGTATAAATCACCAATTTCAAACTTTTCGTAAATATTGATATTGACCAATCTGTTTGTATTTCAAAAGACTGTAACATGTTTCAATTAAATTAAAAAAAGAATAGTAGATAACTGTGTATTGCAGTTCATGACATAAATGCTAGAATGTTGTATGCAAACGATATGCAAATCAATATGCAAATTTATGCTAATTGGACCACCCACCAGCTATTTTGGATTGTGGAGAACACCGGACCCTACATTTTGTGAATGTGTTTGCTCTATTAGAACATTCTAAGTGTGAATAGTTGATATATATTATTACAGATTTTATTGGAAGCCCAAGAAATGGCCGTGAAAGATCATAATGTAGAATTCAAGTCCAATTTACACCTTGGTAAGTAAACCTGTTTTGTTTTTTTCATGTTCTTCCCCCTTTTTCAGATTTCCAGTATGGTCTTGCTAATGTTCCACATCTTCATTCCATGTTTTGTTTGTCTACCAAGATATTTGGTAAAGTTTCTTGCATATTTGAAAACTTTTCTACTTCAGATGTGTTTCACTGGACAATCAATAATTGTTTTCTCACTGTACTTAACACAGCAGTTGTACATCAAGTCAAATCATCGCAAACTCAATAGTTTTAATGTACATCAAAATTTTACAGGTTGTCTTGTCTCGTATCAAACACTTACTTTCCTTCATTCAATACACCTCCCCCTTTCTGAGAACTTATCATATCATAACCATGGCAACTATAAATTCCATTTCAGCTGAATCATTTGCTACTAAAGGACATTATGACCATGCTGTACGATACCACGGGAAAGGCATGTTTGGCGTGGCTAGCATAGTCTACTGTCACTACTTTGTGAAACTCAAAGAAGGACCCCCACCCAAGACCAAGCTTATAACTGGACATGACAAAGCAAAAGAATACATAGAAGAATTGAAGAACAGAACTATTATACATGGATTGTGATGTCTAAGTTATTATTACAAATTTATCAATTATTGTTGCATATCTCTCCTTTAACACATTCGTACATTTGGGGAAAATAACATGTACTTGAATAAACACGCTAGTCAAGTGTATCCCAAGCTAAATGACTAAATTCATGAATTCTACAGTGGAGGCCAGAATAGTGTGTTTGTTCTTTTGTATGTGCTTACTTACACTTGTGGTACATTGCATGTTGTGTTTATGTCAATAGTGGTTGATGACATTTCTATGAAAGTCATGTAATAAGAATATACTGTCAATAAAATTAGACTTGGTGGTAAATAACAAAACACGAAGAATTGCAGCAAAATGATAGATTATTCTGTCTTTAACTGTTAGCATGCTCTACTCACAGTATTGCTTAAAATGGCAGCGTTCTTA